GCCGCTCGTGAGCTGCAGCCCGCCGCGCGAGAGTTTGCCAGCTGAATGCAACAATTGTTCAACCTTTCAAGTGAACTGACTCTCTCACCATGCCGTTCCCTCACCATTTTCGACCTGGGATTGAACTAACTGAAAACCAATGTCAGAGTGTGGTGATGGCGCTAGCGACGGTGGTGGTGATGATGGTGCATGGTGATGATGATGTTGATGGAGGTGACGTGATGATGGTGGTAAGGATGGTGAAGGTGGTGTTGGCGATGGCGGTGATGATGGTGGTGGAGATGGTGGTGATGGTGGTGACAGTGATGGTGGTAATGATGGTTGTGAAGGTGGTGTTGGTGATGGTGGTGATGATGGTGGTGGAGATGCTGGTGGTGATGCTGTTGATGGTGATGCTGGTGATGGCGGTGATGATGGTGGTCGTGATATTGTGACAATCATCATGGTGTTGATGATGGTGGTGATAGCGGACAAATAGTATTGCGCCTGTGACGAAATCTGCACTTCAAGGTTCACAAAGTTGCGCTTGCCACGAAATCTGCACTTCAAGGAAGGTATTGCGCTGGCAAAAAAACACACGTCAATCAATTGTCAAGGTCCGCAAACAGAGTGCTGCGCCTGCCCTGAAATCTGCACCTCAAGGTCCACAAAGCGCTGCGCCTGCCACGAAATCCGCGCTTCGAAACACATCGCCACAGCCCTGCCAAGGCGATTCGCAGCAGGAGCACTTTCCAAGCCCAAATGCAGCCTTTGCTTGAGACTTCCCAGGCTTCTGAAGTCACGATTCACTGCGCCTGCCAGGCCACCTGCCACGAAATCAGGGCACGCCGAAGACCACCGCCATATATGTCACTGTCCAAAGTACTGCGCCTGCCACAAATCTGCACCGTTCCGATCTCTCGCGCAACAACTCTGACCTGCCGCGAAAAGAAGCCATCGCCAAGTCCCAACATGCGCTCTCGAAGAGCGCCCACCAGATCCTGCGAAGCCTGCGCAGCCGGAATGCACTTCGAAGATCTCGAAGTGAATGTGCGTATACTGGCGAGCGCCTCCGATCTGACACCCGTCCTTGACTCTCACACCGTAAGAACACCTATTGTAGTGTATAGGCACACTGCTTGGAGAAATAACGGACACGCCACCAAAGAGCAATCTGTGCGACACAAAGGCAACGTCAGAGCAACCTCAGCTATGGGAACCCCGCAAACAAACAAGTGCTACGGACAGGCTGCCAAACTCCAAAGCCCACCAGGAGAATTGGTGTTGTTTTTAAGGGCCTTGACCAAACAAAACGATCCCCACGGTTCAGCGAGGGGAGAAGATTAATTGTAACTTACGGTTTGCATCAGCTTCCCTATTTCTGAGGGTGGAACGTGTCACGCTAGATACATGTATCTTTCTTTTTGGGCCTACGAGATGTACTATTACACTTCCCGCCCCCAGATTGCTTTCTTTTTTTGCAACTTTACATGCGTAAGGTCTTGTTTGCGGTGTTTGCCACAGCCACAAGTTACAGCGTCCAGTAACCTGGCTCTGGACCCCTACCCCAGTAACCTTTGTTTTAGGCTGGAGGTCTCAAAATCGATGTTACAATTTTCTACCAACATAACAATATTCATTTGGGCTGGGAAGGGCGCCTCAATAAATATAGCGTCAGACCTCCCACATTCGAAGTTACATGTCTGCACCCCTTGAAGCCGAAGAACACACAGTGTTATTTTAACTTCATGGCCTTGACGCTACAGAGTCTAGAGGTGAGCGGTGGTCGAAACCCTTTAGTCTTGGCCTTATAATCCTTCTCTGCTTACGCGTCGGCTTCCGCAATGCTTACGCTACCAATGTTTTCGCTTACGCGGTGATGTTGTTTCTCTTAGGGCTTACGCGTTTCTTACGCGGCGGTTTTGTTACCGGCGTTTTGGCACCAGAGCGGTGAACACTCTTTGTTCCCAACCTGTCAGGTGAGGGTGGTTACAGTAGATTTTAGAAGATGATCCCTCTCCTTCTCCTCTGCCCCGCTTCACTAGAGCAAGCGCCAGATCACAGTGGGGAATCCCGGACTCCAACAGCA